GAGCAAAGAATGATAGTGAAGCGGCTCCATAAGTACGATTGGCGACCCTTCCCCTTCCCCCCCCCACACGTAAAAATTTCAAACGCAACCTTCAGCAGTGATTGTCCAAAGCAAAACCGTAAGAAGACCAGGGACATGAGCAACTATTGACTACGAGGATTGCCATCTCCAATACCGCAATTTTAATCTTGCAGGAGTCCTCTGAATGCCTTGCAAGGTTGTTTGCACCAAACAAGCCCTCTCATGGAAAAACCAACCAGAATGAAACAGTGCATGTTGTCAGTGGAGATCTCTATATATATTTAAATTTAGAAATGGTGCTTCTACTACTATAACTCCAAAATCACTTTTATAGCAAGCACCCTTACAGAGCACAATTACGAAGTGATTTTCTAAGCTACGGTACAACCTGTACAATGATCTCAAAATGGCGTTTGTAACTACAAAATTCGATAAAGGAAAATTTGCGAGCAGTCTATAACCAGGGGAAAGGAAAACAAAAACCTTGTCAAGTCGCCCAGAAGCGTAATCGCGTTCAATCTCCCATCCGTGCTTGTAGTCAGAACGATCATGAAGAAACTTGCAGGAGTCTGGAATAACCATAGAGTAGACTTCAGATTTACACAAACAAATATTATTTGTACGAATCACTTGAAGCTCCAGCAACATTTACCTCCAAAGGTACAGAAGCCAGTCTCCTTAAAATCCTTGCAAATGTCAGGCGCATAGTCCCAACGAACAGTCTGACGAAGAAATTGTGGTGCACGTATGGGACCTACATGAATATTGTGGAAATCGTTTACATCACGTTCCAAAAAGCATTTGGCATCTGTGAAAATGTGTCAGGGAACGAAAGCGCACTGTTGTTATGAACGTACCTATCCTATTCAGTCCACTGCTAGCGTTTCCTTTGACTGTATCTTTAGCTTCCTTCGCACCATACATCGCCTGCCCCTTGTAAATCGTTTTTCCGTCCTGTAATCATGAAGATACGTGAACATAGCAACTGTTAAATGAGATGATATACCTTAACAAGGCCATCTTTGAGTTGTTGCTGAACTCTTTCAAACTGCGCTTGTGCGTCTGCTGCATAATCGGTGTCGACGTCGAGAGTAGCAGTGGCTCCTAAAGATAAATAAGGTTCAGAAGAATCAAGAACCAATCCATCCACCCCAAGACCCGACCCTAAGGCCGCGCTCACACTTCGCTAAACCAAAGCATAATCGATCCGGCTAACTGAGAGAATAGGAGAATGCGCGCAGAAGGAATGGATGAGAAACGATCGACACCTACTTAGAGCGCGTTCAGACTTCGCGATCGCGCGATCGGATCGCTTGGATCGCGCGATGGATCGCGCTACTGAGGGTGAAATTACTGCGGGAGGGGGTCATGTTCGTTCATGTTCAACTCAACTCAACAAACAACAACACAACACACACAACAATTCTGGGAAGGGAGCGTTACTAATATCACCTTTTCCGCACAGTCCAAAACGCTGTGTATCCTCCATATAGGCAGTTCCAAAACGAGGTATAAAAGGTAAGTTCGACTTTTTTCTGATGGTCTTTTTAAGCCGTGTTCAGTATTCGCAATACGTGAGATTTGCCAGAAAACCGTTCGAAGGAAACCGAGTTTGTGATAGGACCCTGGAGGTCCCATTGGAGCGCAGAAAGCAAACAGACGGGGAGAGGCGGACAGCGAATGTGAGCTCAACGAGAAGTAGAAGGAGCCGGGACCGTGGCATATTCTGGAGGACTGGCAAAATCGGGGGAAGGGAGAGAAACAACATCACCCGCTGTTAAAAGTTCTGCGTGTCTTACTTTTGGAACAAGATGTTCAACACTCCGCTTGAACGTACTCAAGAGTGGCCAAAACAATCAACTCTCTCAGGGCTGTTTTTTCTTGTCGTTGTTTCTTCTGCTTCGGCGGAAAGAACCTAATAACTAGCATACTGTAATGTAGTACTATTTTACATAGGAGAATAAGTGAAGTTAACTACACTATGACCGATAAAATTTCCCGAAAGTCTTCTTTAAAATTAGGAGGGCCGTATACACAAGAGAAGAAGATAGGAAAAGAACCGAAGGCAGCAGGATCACACAAACAGTATACGCACCATAACGCCGTATCATCGCCGCGATCCCATATCGCTGGACGGCTCGATCGCACGAAAGTAGCTGAACGCCGCCTCTTAGCGTGAAGGCGAATAGCGAACGCCTAGTCTAGAGAGACGTGGCCTATGCTTCTGGCGAAGAAGTATCTTTTTCAACGACACTAGTTGTCTGGGATCGCTGCAGCGGCTTTTGTGACGCGTACTAAGAAGGCGCAGTCACGGGTCCCGCCAATCTACGCGTTACAGCGGCGCCCGGAAGATTTTCAATCTTGTATGTGGTTTAATAGAAAACGTGTTTATGGCCCGTAATAGGAATTCAAGCACAGAACTGCGTAACCTGCTAGTTAAACACCAATCACTGCACAGTCAACATAAAACTACAACGTGTGATTTCCATGATTGTACCCCTACCGCTTTCAATTGAAATACACCCACCCTGATCACTTGGCCCGAGAGGAGCGGCGCTGCCACTGGCAGCGAAGGCATGTTCGGCCACAAGATTACCAGTTCCCTCGTCTGAATCATCACTAGATGTGGACTCTTCAGCGCCGGCCTGTTTTAGAAGATTTCAGTGTCTAAAAATATTCCACATAAAAAAGTTTCGTAAACAAAAACGAGCAAAGCTGATGTGAGCTATTGTGATGTGATTAACACACCGACTGCTGGAACGGATTAGCTCGTTTCCGCCTCTTGACGTCCTTGATGACGCTCGAGTCTTCATCTCCGGACAACTCCTCTTCTTGGCGTTGGCGTGCCTGGAATTTATGAGCATTAAAAGCGCGTCCACACTTCGGGATCTACTCACTCGAGCGATCCGACGCGATACAAGCGAACGGATCGCAAAGTATGAACGCGCTCCCAAACTAAAGTCGTTTAACTGGAGAGATAAATATGAGAACAGCTGAGACTTTTCGCTGACGCCTTTTATGGATGACGTAGTACACAAAGGGAAAATATTAGTGTTGGAGGAAGAGAGAACAGAGTTCAAGACCAATAAAACCAAACCAAACCGAGAGAACAACTAACCTGAACCGGTGCACGTTTCTTCGTTGGTTTACGAAACATTCAGAGGTGAAGAACAAACGGACACCTATAATAGGGCAACCTTGTAATCGAAACAGCACCACTCACCAACAATGAAACGTGGCTAAAACCAGTGGCGAGAAAGCGGGAGCAAGACTTCGAAAATGTGAGTGGTAGAAAACGCGCCCCAATGAGATTTAGCAAAATTCCTACAAGTTGGCAATGGGGCGCGATAGTCGGAAATAGTTGGTCCCGCATCAGCGCACTTGTCAACCGGGAAACCTCTCCTCTCTTTCTTTTTTCTTCCTCCTTCCTTCTTTTCCTTCCTTCCTTCTCTGATCCCTCCTCCTTTACCTTCTCCCTCCAACTACTGGACTGGTAGATGCCTCGTGAAAATACCCCTGGACCCTCGCAGCGAGAGCACGTCTGGTTGACAACAGCCCCGTAAAAAGTGATGTCATTTCTTACTTAATGGCTAATTCTTTGGCTTTTGCCTTCAATTCTATAGCGGCTTTTTGTTGATGGGGCGTCGTTCTTTATGACTCGTACGCCTGTCAAGCTAATCCTGACGTCTGGAAAGAGTTACGTCCTGCCCGTCCCCACTGTGAGAACCAAACCAAACCGAGAGAGCCTGAAAGGAAAAGCCTAAAATTCTAGTAGATCTTGACTGGTCTCATTTGATTCATGTAGCTAGTAGGTAGATAGCTCTACCAAAGTTACAATATTGTAGCCAGGTACGTCCAATACTGTGGCCGGGTTGGGTGAAATTTTGCAAATACCATTCCTTTTTCCTCGAGATCTCCGTCTCGGGTACGGCCCCTGCCCTTCCCCATATCTGCCGTCTTCCTAAATTCCCCCGGCAAATAAGAGCCCTCAGCCCCCAGCGAACCAATACGGTCCCTCATCACTGGGCCCCAACACACAAGAGCACGTTGTTTTGTGGGTGAACATTTAGTGTTTCGTAAGTATTCTCAGTGTTATTGACGCACAGGCAAGCATCAGTGTGTCTGCTGTGACGCTACGCTGGAATGACGAAATTTGTTTTCACGTTGTTTGATCCCTGAGTGCTTGTACTCCGTTCTCATTCAAAATATCCAGACGTCTAGCGAACAGTGGTCATTCTTCGGCACTCCTCATGAATTTTTCTGAGAATTTCCTCATAGAAATAGAAAGACCTGGTACTTCTGGAAATTCGATATCCTCGGGATCGATTTTTTGCGACTAGTGTGCAAGTCTCCACCATTACTTTTCTTTTGCTCTCAATGCTTCCTTCAAAATTTTGTAGTATCTTCAACGATAAAAAATGACGCAGATGTTCCATAGCAAAAGAGTAGCGTTTCATTCTTCGCAATCATTTGTCTCAGAGGGCTTGCAGCGCTGTAAGACCGCATACAGAACCAGCAATCCAATCGCTCGAGCGATCCGATCGTGAAGTATGAACGTGGTATCAAAGTGCTCCATTCCCAAACTTTTCCAAACAATGATACGAAGTATTCTGTGTTAGGTTCCCACGCAAACTCCTCGTTCTGTCATGTTAGTGCTAGCAAGTCATGAATAAAAACGATTCTCAGCAGAGACAAGTGCGGGTATCGTCTCCAGACACAAAGCGTCTTAGGGCACATGTCAACCGAGAAGCCTCTCCTCTCTTTCCCTTTTTCTTCCTCCCTCCTTCTTTTCCTTCCTTCCTTCTCTGATCCCTCCTCCTTTACCTTCTCCTTCAACTACTGGACTGGTAGATGCCTCGTGAAAATAACCCTGGACCCTCGCAGCGAGAGCACGGTGGCTGTGGACAACTAGCCCCGTAACCATAGGCTACGGGAACTCGCCACCATATTTCGACGCGCTCTTACCTTGTCAAACAAAAGCGGGCAGTAATTATAATCCCCAAATACGTGGCTTCGTAGGCGATTCTTTCCGCATATACCTTAGCAGGTACCCAGGTGTTAACAAATCTGTAGAGAGAGTCTGGAACCTCAATATACTCTTTATTGACAGAAAAAGCGCGGTTCCTTTTTCCGTTCAACAAAGTTCTTGAAATCCCAAAAATCTTGTGTGTGGAGAAGGAATGGGCAGGTTCCGGATCTTGAACTCGCTCAAAGCTAAAGTTTCCATGATTTTATATATTCCGTGCTATACTTGTCTTATTTCACACGTCAATAAGTCTGAAGTACCAATCATACCCTGTAGATTATAAGTTCAAAGGTCGTATATAGTTTTGAAAAAATCATCACTACACTGTCTCTCCACAAATTCGGTTAAATTTGCATAGTAGATGGACTTGAGTTCACTGTCATTCAGAGAATCACTGGCGAAGCAGTTTTCAGCGAATTGCATACAAATTCCTGAGGTCTCTGCCGCCATTGCACTGCTTTCTGGCCGCCACACCCTTTTTTTATCAAATTGACAACCTGCATAATGGGACTGTGGTATTTGATGCCCTGGATTCAACAGAATATCTATCTACTTTATTGTAATTTATTTCACGAACAATCCCCGGAGATCAAGTTTCGCCCAGCAATTTTTTTAGGACCTGAGCGGAGTTTTGTCGCTCTCGCGGAACCTGCGGTCACGGGGCCAGCCCTTTGGGCAGCAAGTTGCGGACTGTTGAAGCGGCGTGCAGAAGTCAACTACCCAGACCAACGGTCGAGGCGAAATTCGGCGTTTCCCGCGGCCACAGAAAAAGTCCAGGAAGCGGCCGGTTGTGGGGAAAAGTGGGAGGAGGAGGGAAGCTGGCCGCGGGTGGCCAAGGCGACATACGCCAAAGGTCCAAAGAAACCGACCCAGAACTATGGGAAAGAAAGCAGACCAACGGACCACTCGGTGTCTAGGGAAACGCGGGTCAGAAATCATGATTTTGGTGAAGAACTTAACAAACCGCTTCAGATATACGGAAGCTAATACAGAGACTAGCTTCCGGAAGAGTCACTTCATACTACAACTACCACTACAGAAACACACTGGCTCACCACAGAGACCACCACGCAGCAATAGAACACCAGGATGAAATCGAGTCACTGGTCAAGGTCGCGGGTATTAGATACTGTATTCGATCTAACGGTAGGATTATTGTCGACTTTGAGATGTTTAACACTCTGTGATAGCGCCATCCGGTAATGTCGTATGTGAGCGTTCTTCGAAGTATCTGCGTATGAATCCGGTGTTAGCCGGACTCTTACGACAAATGCACCTAACAAACCTCAGCTGCCTAAATTCTTTCGTGAGCCACTTGTCACTTGAAGATCGTGAATTGTCCCCGTAACCACACAAAGTCGCACCCTGGCTTTGCGAGTCGGGATTTTCCCAAATCGCACTGTGGGGTGCAGAATCACGACGCAGATAACAGCTGTGAACTGTTGAGCGCTAGCGCAGGCGAAGCTCCACGGGAATTGGAAGTCAGCTCCTGCGTTAAACCTAGGGTCTTCGCATTACATCGAATTGTTAGAGAGCAAGATTTTTTATTACTTACAATGTGCCCATAAGTCCGTGGATGCAATTTCTCATTAATTTCCGAAAGGGCGCTGTTTCTCTTGCTTTTATGCTGTTCCCTCTGTGCAAACTATCTCATCTACACTTAACTATTTCACTTTAATTTGAACGTTACAAGAAAACGATGGTTGCGTCGAGTGGCATTCGAGAATGAGAATGCTGTTCCGATGGGCCCCTTGGACGCTGATGTACAGATCTGCCCTCCATATACTGCCTGTAAACTCTTCTTGGACAAAGTTGAGTCCTACGATTGCTTGACCAAAGGCCACCATTTCCAGCATGTATAAATGACGTGCTCCAAATTGCCCAAATTGGCTGGAATCTGCAACTAGCAAGGCTGCTCAGTCCCCTAGGAAATCATACTATTTATATTTTCGTGAAAACATCTTCGTACGCCATTCTGATCGACAGGATATGACAATGTGTGCAGGGACTGCAACGTCCTCGGCAAAGGCGTTTTACGCCGAAGGAGTGTAATCGTGCTCTGGCTCAAAATTTGCCCTAGAGACAGGTTTTCACCAAAATTTAGATTCGACCTATTTTTTTCGAGTTCACAGTGGAGTAACCATAGGCAGCCAATTCCTAAAGGTTGCTGGCACTATCGCCGATTCAAATCTCTGTGAGCAGTGGAGGTTCCTCGCTAAATCTTAGTCCTTGTGGTTTCTGACTCCTGAGCAACCAAACACCTAACAACCAGACATCCACTTTTGGCTTCCATGCCATCTGGAATCAGTTTGGCCTCACAACACGACGGAACGAATAATGCCGCCGAAACCAACAATCAGGAGTTCCCACTAGGAGTGTTCCAGAATGGCTCTATCACATCAGAAATAAAATTTTTTGGTAGAATCAGGTCTCCTAGCCTCGCAGAAGTGCTTTCCGATGTGCAGGAGGCATTTTTGAGGAAATGCAAAAATGACGAGATCATGGAGGAATTCGAACCTCTTACCTCGCATATTTGAGCGCGGCACACTAGACCACCGGTGCACTTTGTGTGACGCCTCACGTGTCATTTGTGTACCAAGCTCAATTGTGCTCCGTCTCGCCACCAGACAGACCTGCTGCAATAATCTTTCTGCTGAGCAGTATCCCGTTTTAGCAGATAGTATAATAGCCAGATTTGAGAATTCGAGCGCCTGAAGTACACCGAGTCAATGTGGTATTCATCTTGTCTTAAACCTTGGGCTCACTTTCGATGCACCAAACCATTCTTTCCTTGAAGGGGACAAGTTTGGTTACACCCACCATTCGGCAGACTTGCCACCAAGGCGAAAATCGTCTGCTTTGTTAATTCGAATTTACGATGCTCACGAAACGCAACGCTTGGATAGTTCGCGCACCATATAGCTCTTTGCTAATTCGGTGTGACCGCCTTGGCATAATGCGGAATGAAGTTCTCTTCTGGGACGACAATGAGTAACAGAAAGTCCCTAACTAAGAATTACAGATTTGCGCAAACGGGACACGTCGCGCCCGTTGTCCGCGTGCTGATCGAATCAATAGCTCGTGCCTGAATGGACACTTAAAAGCTTCGTCCAAGTAGCTGAATACAGCACCTGCATACCGGGAAGCGTCCCAGTATGAACCCGCGTGTACCTTCGCGCTCTATAGATCAGTAATTGCGCAATCGCAAAATAAGTGTGATAATTAAGACTAATGCGCGTGCATTCAGATATTATCGATCGCAAGAGAATCGAGATGTAAGACGGTATTCGCGGCAGAAGGTTAGGGAATTACCGCTTTCCTGAATTCGTCGATTCTCCAGGTTCGATATTTATGGATTTCTCGCGTTTGCGTTTCCCACTCTTCTGAAGTTCCTCGACTCGATAACTCTCCAGTTTTGCGGACAAGTACGGTGTCTAGTACGTCCAACTAGGCTAAAGAAAACACTGCTTGGTTTGTGCGTGTCGCGCAACGCTGATGTAACGCACCCAGTTTATTTCTTTATTGATCATTCTGTTTATCTCGCTCATCAGTAACCTGCTCCTTTTCCAGATGCGAGTGAACCCGTCGACGTCGACGGTGCGATGGTGCCGCGAGGAAGTCGGGCCAATATTGAGCGGTCTTCGTTTACTTTTCCGGAGCCAGCTAGGGTATGAAGGCAGACAGCTCGAACAGCAGTTTTACCAAACTGGGGCTGCGAACCATCGGGTGGAGGAACGCGTCTTTTTGATCCTCGCTGGAATCCTACGCCAGTCCGCTCAGCTTCAAATCTCTGTTCCTGTAGCAGTCAATGAGGAGCTTGAAAAGCCACGACAGTTGCTTTTGGTAATTCTCCTACACTATGCCGAGCGTTCCTGACGAACGGGCGTATACTCCTGCGATCTGGTGCATAACACGTTTCCCACTTCCGGGGGAGGAGCAAAGTCTAGCATTGAGCACATCCATCTTCGAGTACAAACGGTTGTTTCAGCGTTTGCGCAAAAGGGTGGGCAGAGCTTAGTAGTCTAAAGGTAAGTTTCGCGCTGCCCAATTTTGAACTCCGAAGCCTTCAGCGGCTCTGAGAGAAATTGGTGTCCAGGGCACTCTTCAGACCCAGTATTATTTCAAGAGAACTACAGAGCTTTGCAAAACCCGTTTTCGGATGCCCCATCCAAAGAGAATATAGACAGCGGTTGACTAAAGTAGGCAGGAAGAATTGTCTATCTGAGAGCAGCCACATTCGCTGACGCATTATGGAAGCTGAAGAGAAAATCCGAGGAAAAAAGAAAAATAACATATATCGTCCTGTTCTTCCTGAAGGATATACCGTCGATGCTGATGAAATGGTGGATGGCTTGTCGCAGAGCAAGGAGAGCAATGTGCCATCATCCAGAATTGGTCGGTGAGTGCAATTTTCAGTCTCCTTTTTCTACTTTAAAGGCAGAGGGCGTGATGTCTAGGGGCGGGCGGATGGTCCGTGGTTGGTGGAAAGGCTGAGTGGGGCGTGGCCAAACACTCTTTCGCAGCCTTTCCACCAATGATGTTGGCAGCGGCCGCCCGCCCAACCATCGTGCCCACTGCCTTTGAAGCACAATCATCAAAAGCGATCCTCAAGAACACTGGTGTTTTTTAGCCTGGCTTCGTTTGGTCAGTTAGCTTTTGGACTTGCCGGAGGAGCTGCAGCTGAAGCCACTCGTCGAGCATTTTCATTTGGAACAGCGGCAGTTGCAGAAGGGCAGCCCACGAATCCACTCTTTTCTTCTGCAAACGCCGATAGGATCGTTCAGACGTTATGCCGGGTTTGTGATTTCGAATGAGTTATTTTCTGAACTGCATGTCAATAATTTCTCTTCTACTCGAAGTCGCGTGAGCCAGATCTTCTACAGGTGTGTTTCGCACTGAGTTTTGTATCTGTAAGGCCCCTTTCATATTATGCGCGGAGAAACTGCAATCGCAAGCTGCCGGCCCCGTTCGATACCCATCCAGTTATTTGGCGCAGAATCGCCCCCGCGCCCATATCGCCGTATCGCTCAGTTTCCCAAACGCCATCGCCGAGTCGAGCACCGGATCGTTCAATCCTCCACGCCGGATTGCCGAATATCCGCGAGCGCTATCGACCCGCGCGATCGATAGCTATCTATTGCTTTTGCGCGCAATCGCCGAAACGCCGAGTCGCTCGCCAAATCGACGCCTATACTTTATATGTCGCGTAGTCTCGCGAATTGCTGACCCTCCCTAATCGCTGACTCTTCATTAGCAGACTATGAACGTGACCTTAGCTGTGGGTCGATTGACCACGCTAATCACCATTTCGGAGAACGCGCGAGTCGGACATGATTCCTTTCTCTGTCAAACGCTGTTAATTAAAATAAACACTGTTCCCTGTAACTTCGTAAAATTATCAGTTTAGGTAAGAGGAGCTGCTCTAAAACTTGGTCAGATGCTTTCAATACAAGATCCCGAGACCGTTTCCCCTGCACTCCTCGAAATTTTTGAGCGTGTTCGTCAGAGTGCAGATTTTATGCCTTTAAAACAGGTTCACCATCTTTCAACATGTTGCTGAAATGAATTCAGTTTTCCACTGTTTGTTACTGAAATTCCTGTTAAGGTGGAGAAACAAATGTTTGCCGCGTTTGGATCGGACTGGAGGACGCGCTTTGCTTCTTTTGAAGATCGTCCATTTGCCGCGGCTTCAATTGGACAGGTGTGTGAAGTTTCAAGTTTTAGACGTCAGACCACATGACCTAGTTACGTATCCACCATAGGGCAATAGTGAAGCCTTTGTTTCTCTCAAGAGAGTGCCATAGTGGTGACAAGTTCTTCCCAGGGCGACCTCTCTTTCTCGGCTCCAACTTCCTCATTGCATCTCCCACCCCTCCTACCATTAAACCGAAAACTTCGAAATTTCCATCGAGCAAGAGGAGAGGGGGGGGGGGCTAAGCCCACCAGTTCAACTACGAAAAGTAAAATGAGTAGAAAACAGCGTTCACAATAACCTCTCCATTCGAGACATCCCCCTTCCACTTCAACCTTCTATTATGGAATACTCAACGAACAGCGCTGGTCGCAGTTGGTAAAGATGGTGCAGTAATCGGAGGGCGCGTTGTCGTGGAAGCTAGTTTAGTGGGCGCTTTGTTGGGCAGTTGTGTGTTGACATGGTGCCCATGGCGCGCTGTGCCTAACCCATAAATGTGACTCTATATGCCACATTCACTTTCGTTTCATGTCGAGTTGCAATAACCTGTCGTTGGGAGTTGGTATCGACTAAAGGAGACCACCCCTTTATGCGCCATCAGCCGCAGTTTTATGTACTCAAGTTTTCTGAGTATAAACATTGATCTACCTCGCAAGTACCCCTTCACAGGTTCATAGAGCTGTTTTACCGGATGGACGTAAAGTGGCAGTGAAAATTCAGTATCCGGGAGTTGCAGAGGGTTAGTTGTTTTACTCTCTTGCTCATACTAAAGGTGATTGAAGCACTTTCCAGGAATCGACTCTGACATCAACAATCTCATATCCGTACTTGGAATAGGTGGAATCTTTCCGAAAGGGTTGTTTTTGGAGCAATTCGTGGAGGTAAGTGGAATTCATAGCAACATGAGGGTGCTAATATTTGTCCGATTGTTTCAGGTAGCCCGCAAAGAACTCGCCGATGAATGCAGGTATTTGAGAGAGGCGCGTGCTATGAAGAAGTTCCGTGAGCTGCTTGCTGACTCAAATGACTTCTACATTCCTGAAGTTAGTTTGACTTTTTGGTAAATATTTAACCTCATTTTTTCTGTGATGGCAAATATTGATTTTTAGGTAGTGGATTCGCTTACGACTGACCGAGTTCTGACTGCAGAATACGTAGTTGGAAAACCGGTTGACAAGTGTGTGAATGAGCCGCAAGTAGTTCGCGACTACATCGCTGGGAAATTCATCGAGCTTTGTCTGTATGAGGTCTGTTTGCAACGGTTCTTCCGTGGTCTTTTCGACCAGGGCAAGTCGGTGAAAGAGGGGGACATTTAAAATGAGCAAAACTGTGATTTTTGCGGTGCGAGATCGCATTATTGCGTACCCGCTCCGCGGCGTTTTCAGTTCTGCACAGGCACGAGTCTTATTTCTCCCCCGCCTCCTTCTCTCCCTAAGCTGACTTCTGCCTTCTTGTCTCACGTTTCTTTTTTCTGGTGCAAGCTCTATTCCTGCGTGATCTGTTCAGATTTTCATGTGGAGATTTATGCAGACCGATCCGAATTGGTCAAACTTCTTCTTAGGAGTTCACCCAATAACGGGTTAGTTTTAGCTGCCTAGCTTGAACCACAAGCTAATGCAAAGCCGTCAAACTGCGAACATTCAGGCAAACCTCGTATGATACTTCTCGATTTTGGCGCGACACGTTCTTACAGTAAGAAGTTCGTCGATTGTTATATGAAATTGATAAAGGCTGCAGCGGACCTGGACACTAAAAGGATAACTGAGTAAGCTCAATAAAAACTTTTCTTTTATTTCTTTCTTCTAAATTTTTTTGCGAAGTCGAAAGAGATGTAGTCCTTGAGGGGAACTGTCACAAAATGACCTTGCATGTCGAACACGGCTCAGCTGAATCAGTCTGGGTTCTGTGATTCGGAAATGTTGTGAACTGGTTGCGATTTTTACTGAACGTTTTGTAGTTTCCCTGCTCAACGTCTTATTTCCCCAGTTAGCTCTGCCTTCCTTGTTGACCTTTCCTAGAGCGCGTTCGTACTTCGTGATCGCACGAATGGATAGCACGATCCACTCACGCGATAGGATCGCGCAAGGGGCGCTCCTATCGCGCGACTTCACTGCCAAACGGTGCATTGCCGCAACGCAGAACAAGGTACATCGTTGTTGGGGAATCCCCAATAGGGGGGTCGTATTTGGGCTGGGAAAAATTTATTTTGATAGTTGATTTTTCTCGCTTCACGGACGTTGTAAGGGGGGGTCGTACTTGGTCATTGTTGGAGGGGGGTCGTATTTACGTTTTGGCGTTGTAGGAGTGGTGGTTGACTTTTTGTGATTTTCCTGTTTCACATGTACTATTTCCCCCCCCCCTCCCCCGCGCGCTCGACGCGGCTCGATTCGGGGAGGAACAGAGGGCCGGAGGGGAGGGAGGCGGTCGTACCAACCCCAGAAAATAGGGGGGGGTCGTACAGACTCGACTAAAATCCCTAACCAGTGATGTGCCCTGACGCAGAATTCAAATTGGACCGCGTTTACGCAGTGCCAGTACAAAGTGGGATCAGTTGATCCAATCGGGCTCGCTGATCGCGCCGTCCAATTGCGCGATGGCTAAGTATAAAGGCACTCTTAGCCCGGCTTTCTTCGGTTTTTTTCTGCTTAACACGTGCGCTATGCCCTCTCTCAAAACGCGAATTCAGGAATGGGTACGGAGGGTGTGTAGCAACAGAATCGTCCGGTGCAGCTGGTGGGCGTGGCCTGCGACATCCTTGCGGCGAGAAGACGAATCATGCGTCTGGCCGTTTGAATAGGGATATTGAAGGGAAGGTAAAGATTGATATCACCCAGGATCGAGTCTTGTTTGGTTACGGTTAAGTTTTTAGTTTTTCTTTGTTTTTCCTCAGAGTATGAAGAAGTTCATTGGAGCATTCATTTCACAGCACTTCATTGGGGGCTTTCACATTTGCTCTGGTGTGTCATCTTTTACAGCAGCTCACAGGAAAACTTGACCATTCATCTATTAAATGTTGACGCTGACGACTGCGCGAATCATGTGAACCACATAAACATAGGGAGAATAACAGCCTTATTGATTTCTTTTGTATTTATTTTTCCCTGAAGCTGCGTCTGTGGCCCCGCCAAACAATTTTGTGTAACTATCAAGTAAAACACCGTTAGATCCTTAATTATTGATGAAATCTGCTGAACGTTGCGGATGTACGCTGTATTAAATCAATTGCTCCAGTCGCAAAGCTATCGGCCTAGCAAATGCACACCGTGAGCTGCTGCGTCATTCGCCGCGCGACGCGCCGCGTGCCGCGGGCGCTGCCTCGGACGATTCTGTTGCACGTCTCCCAGATTGTCGATCGGTGGGGGAGGGGGTGGGGGTAGTACCAAAGGAGGGAATTCCGAGGGGGGTCGTATTTTGCAAAATTTCCCCCAGTGGTATGACGTGCCCTGCAGAATAGCCAGTCCGCTATTCCGGAGAATCTAATTGTATCTGCGATCCACCGAACGATAATGATTTGACTCCGCCCACCAGGGATTTCGGTGAACCCGCGAGTAACAGGATTCTACACATTCACACAGTAGAAACCGGTATAGATGAAACAGGTAATGACTGAAAATCTGAATGAACCGCGCTTCGATTTCTACCCGCGATTACCGTACTGAACGTAACAGTTGCTCATTTTATGGCTTGTGCGAACTTGCCACTTATCAGTTCCACGGCTTTACTCTTACGCGCCTAAACCCTAGGAGATCATTGAAAGATTGTGATCTGAAATGTAGTTGACTTTCCGCTTTTAGATTATCAAAAGAGATTGGCTTTCTGACCGGTTATGAGTCTTCTGTCATGGAAAAGGCCCATGCTGAATCCGTCCTTATTATGGGCGAAACTCTGGCAAGTAATACTCCATTCGATTTTGCTCGACAGAGTGTTACCAAAAAGGTTCAAAAACATCTGCCAGTCATGCTAGAGCACAGGTGAGCTTTTCCTAGACCTTCTTCACAGCATTCATATCAGACTGTGATCAGATTACCATTACTGGTTCAGATTGAAATCTCCTCCAGAGGAAATCTACTCCCTGCATCGTAAACTCTCTGGCTCTTACCTGCTGGCCACTAAACTGAAAGCTGTGGTCTCATGTGGTGCTCTTTTCAATGAGATTTACGATAATTATTCATTTGGAGAAGATGGCAAAGATATAGACATCGATTCACCGGAAGAAATTGCTGCTCAGAAGGCATAATAATCCTCTTTCCTAATGTTCGTTACTACTCGTTACCTCAGAAGTGACTTCACTTTTGGTAGGTTAATTTAGTATGTTGAGATTTCGTATAGGCTATTAGATTGTCATTTACTCATTTTGTTTTCGATTGCATTTTCCCTTTTGTTGGTTTTTGTTGGGATAGGGTAGGCGGCACAGTCCGGCGACGTGGAGAGGGGGGAGAGGGCATTTTGCACGCTTGCTACTTCCCATCAACGTGTGTCTTGTGTTACCAAATGGAGACCTTTGGAATGTTGTTAAGCTACGTAATGACACCAGCAAGTTGTGAGACCACTTGTCAATGCCCTACCCCCCCCCCCATCGCCGAACTACGCCGAATACACTATCACATGAATGCTGACTGGCGAAAAAACTTCCCCGTTTCCTGTTGTGATAGCATCGATTAGCTCAGAGAAATAGTGCCTAGTCAGTAGAATTTATTCGCATTCTATATATTCTCTGGGTTTTGTGACAGACTGCTTCTTACATACCTCTACTAGATTGTTATTTGCGATTGTTGTACAGTTAGTAAACCTCTACTAGATTGTTATTTTCGATTGTTGTACAGTTAGTAAGTAAGTAACAAATACGTTTATAGTTGAGATTGTTTGGAGTTCTCCATTAAAGATTGTGAGACTGTCAGTTTTGTTTTGGATTTTTCGAGCAACGTGTCAGCGAGCACTACCCCTATTTCGTGTATCTCGTGCTGTTGTACTTTGTTGGTAGGGAAGGGATTATGGAAGCAAACGCCGACGCAGTTTGGTATGGAGGGGTGGCATCTTGTATTTTTGCTACTTTCCATCGTCCTGTCGTACGCTCAATGGAGATTTCTAAAATCGTGTGAAACCACGATGTGGCACCAGTCAGCGTTTGGAGAAACTGCTTATCTGTCACCTATTGTAAAGCAATGGATATGACGATGAGAAGTAGCTGAAGTGCAATTAGCCCCACCCCCCTCCAAATGGAATCGACCATCGCCCACGCTTATGTGTATCCATGTGTTTCTTTCTATGTTTTCGTTCAGACATCTCAATGCTGTTTCCGCTGAATTGCGGTTACGACTTGACACAGAAAGCTTTGCTTTCACTAAATTTCTTTTATGTGGTAAGGTTTTTTCATAGTTTCAGTTTTCGCTTGTTTGTTTTCTTCAGCGAGAGCGTCCTTTTTGAGCTGTCCAGTTAGGCATTGTTCACAGCCTGCCAGCGTTTCTCTGGAACGCGGCGGTTCGGCGAAAAGCTTTCGACACGTTCGAC